GGTCAAGAAGGGCTTCGGTTTTGTTTGGTTGAGCGCGTGCATCCCTTCCATGGCACTGTGTCGTTTGGGGATTGCATTACATGACAGCCGCTTTGTTCCTCTAAGGAAGAGTGGCGAAACAGTGTTGATTTTGCATGAAGAAACGCGATAATGATGTACATGTCTATCTACACACTGTAGCGGCTGTACTAATTCTTGCTCATGTGTATTTGTGGGTATTTCTGTTGTGTGCGATTTCCATGTCTGTGTCCGTGGACCTCCGTCTGTTCGTGTTTTGCATGTTTGTGCGTCTTTTCTGCACATGTGTGCATGTGCTTGAGAACCTCTCTCTGTCTCTGTTTCTCGCTCACTCTTCTTTTTTGTGCTTGTGTGGGTGTGGGTGCGCACATGCGTGCTGACTCGTCTCTTTCCACACCCCATCCCCTGCAGGGAGGACTACCTCGACAAAGAGCCAGAAGCAGTAGCACAGGTGCAGTGAGGAGCTGGTGTGCCGTCACTACTTTCCATGCCTACCGTCTTCGCCAGAAAGAACAACGGTTATTTTCGCTGCATCTGGACTGAAAGTTTGGACCAGATGCAGGCTAAATGACCGTATGTTCTTTACGGGGCAACGGCCGTAATTACTGTGATCCAGCAGAAGGTGGTGGTGTGTATGTGTATGTGTGTGTCTGTGTGTGTGTTTCAGAATGGAAGGTGTTGGGTGAGTTAAGTGGGGGTGTTGGTGTTCACGGGAGGAGAAGATAAGTCGACCGAGGTATTGAGCCACAAGCGCTACCGAAAGGAAGGTATTGGGTGAGTCAATTGGGGGTGTTGGTGTTCACAGGAGGAGAAGATCAGTCGACACGCGCATGGACCCACAAGTGCTACAGAAAGGAAGGTATTGGGGGAGTTAATTGGGGGTGTTGGTGTTCACAGGAGGAGAAGATGAGTCGACCCACGTATGGAGCCACAAGTGCTACAACCACTCTAGCGGTTTTCTCGACTGTGTTTATAATCATTTTCTAGGGATGTTCTGCTTGCCACTTATGTGGAGGGCAGTTGCCTCGTTGTGAGTGATGTAGAGTCCACAGCTGGATGTAAATGTCTACCCAGTGTCCTCCTTCAGCTGCTCAGATGAGCCCCACTTGCTGTACTATTTTTCGATAATCACCTTGGCTTGCATGGTATTGCCGGTGGTTTTAGATGGCAGAGAACGTGCGCGCAGCCCTGTACAGCAGCGCTTCGAGATTCTCTCTCTCTCTCTCTCTCTCTCTCTCTCTCTCTCTCTCTCTCTCTCTCTCTCTCTCTCTCTCTCAAGCTCCTGCAACTGTGGTTAGGCTGTTGCCACTGCGCTGTGCCGCCAATGCGTGCCACAGCTGGTTGTAAATGTTTACTCCCCTCCTTTAGCTGCACAAATGAGCCCCACTTGCTGTACTATTTTTGAATAATCGCCTTCGGTTGAAATGCATTGCTTGGAGTAGAGCCTGTCAATGTGCGCACGGGGCCATGTATTTCAAATTTGCAATCATTTCTGAGATGTTTTCTTCCCTCTCTGAAGCTCCTGCAACTGTGGTTAGGCTGTGGTTAGGCTGTGGTTAGGCTGTTACACCTGCGCTGTGTCGCCAATGCCCGTCAATGCATGGCTTTGTTTCTCGTCTAGAATTTTGAATGACAAATTGACAATGAATATATATCTGTCTGCCTGCCTGCCTGTGTGTGTGCTCATCTGTTGGCTGCGCACCTGCCTGTCTGCATGTCCCTCTTGTCCTGCCTCCCTCTCTCTTCTTTGCTCTGTTTGTCATTTTACCCAACCAGCTTTCTGCCTGCCCCATTCTCCCTCCCTCACTCACTCACTCGTGTGTTGGTCTCTCGCCGGACATTAACCTCCTGTCGGTCTCTGTTGGTCTGCCCGTCTGTTGGCTGATTGACCCCTCCCCCACTCCATTCATCCTTCCCTCCGACGCTCTGTCCTTACCGTCTGTGTGGCTGTGAACTAGTCCATCCACCCTTCCTTCAACACTACGGCGGGGKGGKGTGTTCGTGATGCCCATGTGCGGCCTTTAGTGATGCCTGTCTTTGCTGCCAGTTAGTTGAGTCCGGCCTTGTGTCTGCTTTCTGCCTGTTGGCGTGCTTTTTGCTGTTCTGTCCCCCTGCCCACGTGGTTTATGCACTGTTGCCTTGCCGCCACTCGGGTTGATGCGCCTGTCTGTTTGCCTGCCATGCGCAACTTGAGTTGGAGAGCCGTGTGATGGGCGACCATCTCTCGGAGAGCACTTGCTACGGCCGTCTAGGCGCGACTCTTTCTTTTCTCGGACCAATTCGAGCTTCCTCGATAATCATTTTCAATACTGAATTCATTATCCGTACATTAACATACATGAACGGATGGAGAGGGATTCGAACCCCCAATATTTTGTAATATGTCAGTTTTCAAGACTGATACCTTCAACCACTCAGACATCCATCCAAAGCAAAGACGCCCCTTGTACCTTTCTTTCCACTCCATCAAACACATCGCCAGTGCGGAGAGCACTTGCTACGGCCGTCTAGGCGTGACTCTTTCTTTTTTTGGACCATTTCTCGATTTATGCGTGTCATCCTTGAAAGCGCATGGGCCATGCTGATCTTCAGTCTCTGTATCGTTCCAATTGTAACGGATGTCCCGAGGGACAGGCGCGACTCTTTCTTCGAGTGCGACCATCCAGATTCGGATGTGTCGCAGAAAGCCTCCGGCAGCGAGATGGACACGACTCACTTTAAGCCGGCGAGCTGTTTGTCGGGTGTCTTTTGCCTTGCTGGTTGCCCTTGCGACTTTGCCTGCCAGGTCACCTTGGGGAAAAAAAAAAAGAAAAAAAAAAAAAGGGATATGTTATTGTGCTGCTGACCTTCCTGCCACCGCTGCTGCTCTACGTTGTCTTACGTTGCCTTGCTACTGTTTTTTTCTTTTTTTTTTTTTGAAGTTGCCTTGCTGCTTGGACTGCCTCTCTGCTTGCCCTTTTGCTGGTTTTGTCTGTATCTCAGTTCCCTGCTGCTTACCTCACCACTTTTGCTGCCTGCCTTGTCGCGTTGTTGCTTTTGTTGTTGTGTGCCTGCCCACTTGTACTGCTGTTAGCCTTTCTGCTTGTCGAGCGCCACACTGCCTTGCTGCCCCTCGCCTTGCGCCTTGTGCATTGTTGCCTTGCTGCCTACCCATGTGTTCCTTGTAATATGAATGGTTTATTTGTTATTGTATGAAAACATATCAATAATACAATATGATATTATGAATGTTTTTAATTTGAAAAAAGAAGTTATAAAAGAAAGTAAATTTGGATATTAAAACAAAAAATCACAGTAGTAAATATTGTATATAACATATACCCCTCGTTTGTTGTCCTCTTCTCCCTCTCCGCCCATGGTTTACTGGGCAGCTCTGTTTGACTATATATATTATAAAATAGAAATAAATTCAAATAATTCATATAATAATAAATGATAAATCTAAAAAATAAAGATATATCAATAATCCATTCTTATGCCTGGTTGCACTGTTGCTTTTGTTCTCATGGGCCTCCCCACTTGTACTCCTGTTAGCCCGTCTGCTTGTTGTGTGTCATGCTGCATTGCTGGCCCCCTGCCTTGTGCCTCGTTACCTTGTTGCCTTGCTGCCTATTATGCGGTCCTCACTTCAATCGGTGCCTCGCTACTTTCCTTGCTGCTCGCCTTTGTGGTCATGCCGCTACTGAGTGTTTTGATGACAATTCTACTGCTGATCAATAATCCTTTAACCACTGCTAATCTGTTTGCCCTGCGCTCTGCGTTCCGACCCCCTTGCTCCTTGAAATTGCCTACATGCCCTCGGCCTTCTCTCTGCTGCTGTTGGTTTTGCCGCGTGCTCCCCTGCTTGCCTTGTGCCTTGCTTGTCTGGTGCAAATGCTGTCTGCTTCCCATTGTGATCTACGTCAGCATTCTTACAGCTGGAACTTTTATACACACACCACTCATAAAATAACCTTATGGAAGTTATGGGTGTGATCTACATTCTTATGCCTTCTAGCCACGTGTTCAAGCGAGCAGGCACACTTGCACTTCGTTTTCCCGATTGAGTATATATACTATTGCGACAAATCTTACGGTCGGAGCCTTTGTACACACACCACTGGTAAGTATCTACCAGGTGTCATCCAGATTGAAAAGAAAAAAGAAAAAAAACGAAGTTAAAAAGGGGACGGCTGGCCCCCCAAAAAATTGTTGGCCGCGCTGAAACAACTGTTGGCCTCCAGGGAGGCCATTCGTGCCACCAAAAAAAATTGAGAGCGCTGGCGGCACCTGGGAACCTGACCGGGGGGTTGCTTGCCCAACCAGGCGCCCATATTGCAACCATACCGAGGTTGTTCCGGAGGGTATCCTTCCTAATATGCTGTTATGAACTCATCCGTGATAATCCTGGTAATATGACTCCGGGCTCAGACGGAGCAACACTGGATGGGCTCACGATCGACTGGTTTTCAAATTTTAGTCAGTGGGTTTCTAGTGGGTGTGGGTTGGCGTGGGTTTCCAAAGGGCATGGGTTTTTAGTGGGTGTGGTTCTCCAGCGGGCGTGGGTTTGTAGTGGGTGTGGGTTTGTGGTGGGCATGGGTTTCTAGTGGTCATAGGGTGCCCAACCGGGCGCCCATATTGCAACCTTGTCGAGGTTGTTTCGGACGCGTATCCTTCCTAATAATACCGCTATGAACTCATCCGTGGTAATCCGGGTAGTATAACTCCGGGCTTAGATGGTGCAACGCTGGATGGGCTCAAGATCAACTGGTTTTCAAATTCTAGTCAGCAAATTACAAGCTGGTAAATTTGAGCCACACTTCGCCGCGCACCTTATCTTATCTCGAGTCCCAGAGACTAGCATCTAGCATTACGGGCACCTCGGGTACCCAGTGCACCCGACCTGGAAACCTAGGAAAACATGAAAATTTACTGATAAGCCTACTCTTAAGTACTCTTCAACTAAGATTTTTCAATGAGTGGATCCGAAAGAAACTTGATGTTGTAGTAGCTTTTGTCCGCGCTTTGTGTCAAGAGTTCATAGTGGTAGTTTCATAGTGGTAGTAGTAGAAGTAGAAAACTTTGCTGGACTGGGGATTTGCGGTGGGATTTTGGTGAGACCACAGCAGAGGATGGGCCTGGCCGAGAGTGCCGTGCTCAGCCCGGATTGCTGTGGTGAAAAAGTGAGGGACATATGCCCAACTAACATTGCACCACAAAGATGTATCCAAGGGACGCTGGACCCGATTTCCAGCAGCGGCTGCTGCCTCCTCGTCGGTGCTAGGTGTGTCTGCTCATATCAGCACACCTAGCATCCGGTCGGGTTCTTCTTCAAAAAAGAAAAAAAAAAAAAAAAAAAGGTGAGGGAGATGAGACCTGTTTTTTGGCCCGTAATAAAACCGACGTCTTTTCGGAAGGAAACCAACAACAAAAAGAAAAAGAAAAGCCTGCGCAAGGATGACACGCGTCCTTAGCATTATGGCCCCTGCGCAAGGGTGACATGCGTAAGTCGAGAAAAAAAATGGTCCAAAAAGTTCATAAAAACGCACGCACACACACAAAAAAAAGAACTTTCCTCACCACGTATGGTCTGAGCTCATTGCAGTTTTTTTAGAGTAAATGTTGCTAGCATCCGAAAAATTGTGTTCGTTTTTCAAATTGGATGCAGCCACACATATAATGCATGAAAGCTGCACATGCCACAAGCGGGATGAGTTGAAGCAGCAGCTGCTGTTCCACTCTTTTGGCAGGGAGCCTTTTACCTTCCAGTGGATCCTGCTAATGATCATTCGAGGTCCCCGTGAAAACTGTCTCCGAGTTGAAGCAGCAGGTCCTGCTAACGATCATTTGAGATTGTCCACGCACTTCGCAGGGCGGTTTTGAACTCTTTACCTTTCATTGGCTTCCACAAAGACAATCTCAAATGATCGTTAGCAGGAGCTGCTGTTGGACAGTATTCACAGGGATCTCTCTCTTTTCTTTTTGTTTTTTCTTTAACCTTCCATGAAGATGAAATCTCGAACGAGTGTTTCGATGCGTCTGGTGTCAAGCCGTCATTAGTGATCCGGGGGGGGCGTGTGGATGGGCTCTTGCTCAACGGATCAAAGGTACGCCGGGGGGGGGGGGGGGTTAAGAGACTGAGGACTCCCAATATATCGTCCTGGGCACCCATGTGGAAGGGCTTGCGCTCAATCGATCAAAGGTACGCCGGGGGGGATAAGAGAGGCTGAGGACTCGCAAGAGCTCATATCGACGGAGTCGTTTGGCACCTCGTCGTCTTGGAGTACTTACACAGTTATGTCTACAGGACAACTACACGCTTATTCGTACTTGGTTTTTAAGTGCTTTCTCCGAACCAGTGAAAATTGTATAAGCAATGTTCGATCAGCAGGAAACCACAAAAAAGTACGGCCGCTCGCCCTAGCCAGCGACCGGCGAGCTGTTTGGGATCCTCAGAGACTTTACGCAATGCTGGATTTTCGCTGCAAGGTAGTGGTGGATAAAAAAAAAAAAACACCAAAACCCCTCGACAGAGTCGACACTCTGAAATTTGGTAACCGATATGGCCAGGAACCGGGAAGGACGTGCAAAACTTTGGGCCTCGCTGCACTACTCTCGAAATGTGCAAAACGAGAGTGAATCTTCCGCTAGAATATGGAAAGATGCACCACCATGATTTTTGTCTTTTGTGCATTGCAAGAGTAGTGCAGCGAGGCCCTTTTTATCATGATGGCCCCTGCGGGTAGCGATGAGGAGCAAAAATTGTGCAAGGATTGAAAGATTGTGGACAGAGCGAACTGATTGGGGATTGTGTCTTTTGGACTTTTTTTTAACTTCTAAATGCTTCGTTTTGAACGATGAGCACCAAAACTATGTGGCAGTCGGGAAAAGGAAAACCGGCATGGATAGAGCAATACTTTTTTCTTAGTTTTTTTTTGCAATATTTGGGCCCTACTGACAAGGTTACCAATTTACTATGTTCGTATACGACGCCCGGGCGCATGGGTGTTATATTGTTGGGTGAAGACGGGAAGGAAAGGTGGGAGAAGCTCTTACATTAAGTCTCTGAGGGAATACTGACAATAGTGCTTTCCTAAATGTATCCGACCGCAATTACGCATATACCTGGATGAATCTGACCACGATGAAGTCCAGAGCTTAGTAGAAAAAGTCCTACTGTGAGTAGCCCCTGAGATGGTTCCTGGACATCTGGGCA